CAACTACTGTGGACACAGCAGACAGGACATCCCTATGACTAACACAGGCAAATAAGGTTGAAAATCAGCAAAGTCTTCCTCCAGGGTGACTGTGCTGCTCTCTGGTGACATTTTTAGGCCAATCACTGGGCTCATCACAGAGGGTTTGCAAGATGAACTCTGAAGTCTTGTTGATTCCAGTAACATTGAAATAATGTGTGGTCCATACACACACACACACACACGAACCTACTAATTCACTCATGCTGCATGGGCAATGGAAATGGAGTGGATGCACTCATGTACTCCACTGCGAACAAAGTAGTGCAAGCTGCCCATTACAAAAGAACACTGTTCTCTCCATTGGTCTCATACAAACACAAACAAATTAAGAATCCAGCACTTCAAAGTCTTACGTGCACTACTACTTGCAGTCAATGTCTGCATCAAGAAGGCTTTTTAAATGTCTGTATATTTTCCTTTGAGGATACAAATGTTTTGGAGTTTCAGAATTGAAATGCTAAAATGTGCCCTTCATGGGAAGAGAGTGTATCCTTAAAACTTTTCTATATCAGTGCCAACATAAAATGTTCATTTAAAGGCAGACTAGGTAGCTTTCGAAGGAAGAAATACAAATGAAACGTTGGGTTCTGCTGTTACAAACGTACTTGGTCGTACTTATTGCTGTGTGGCTAAAATTTCTGAGTCTTGTTAAAGACATTTTTAGCATGTCACAGATAGTTTTGTGGGGGTTTTTTCACCTTCATTTCCAGACGCAATGATATAAAGGCCTATCATAACCAGCACAAAGAGGTATCACAGACAACACAAAATGTCTTCAGACACATCTACAGGTAGCCTTGTCAGTGTTAGTGCTTCCCTTTGTGAGTTTTGGTAATGTGGTGAAAAGGTTTGGTTTCGAGCTCTGTGCTATAACTTTCTAGCAAAATATATTTGTCAGTAGTTGGTGGGGGCTTGGTTAGACAACATGTTGTGTTTACAAAATCTTTTAATGCAGGTTTGAAGACTGAAGACAATCTTTGTAAATTAGGTGAAAATGTATGTGCCATCGATTGCAACCTGTGGCTACAGTAGAAGAAGAAGAAGGGAATGACAGTGCGCGGGACGTTTATGGTTCTGGGAAATAGTGGCAGAGTGAGACCTCTTACTGTCTGCAAGAGACCAGCTACCCCGGGTCTGAAACAATCCACTGTCAACTGTCAGACAGTGCTGATCAGATATGGATCCAGCTTCTGTTACTGCGTTGACCATTTCTCTCCTCAGATCTGTTCACAAACAGCCAATGAGAGCAGGTTACTTCTTCCTGGACAACCAGAACAGGAATGATCCTTTCATTAGATCTATCACATTGAGTATACTGATGGTCAGTGCTCCAGTTTTCAACTCACTGCCAGTAATCGTCCAACCATGCTGGTAAACGAAGGCAGTACAGTATGATGATGTAACTACAGTGAAGAGGCGCACGCTGTTTCTTTTCTGTAAGTGCTTAACAAATAAGTCAAACCAACAAACTCTGCACTCTCATTCCAACACACACAAACACAAACTATAGCTGAGGGTTACTGCAGCCCGCCCTCGCCTCTTCTTTCTCCATCTGCACCAAACTGCTTAAAGTGATAATGAGTTGTTTTTAATAATTAATTTGCATATAAAAGCCGAGCCGTCTGTGTGGGCGGCAGAAACAGATCCTAGATCACAGTCTGGCTGCTGGCAACGCTTCAGAGAAAGCCACAGAAAACAAGAGAGAAGCAGGAGGTGAGGGGGGGAAGACAAACCGAGAACCAGAACGAAGAAGAAGAATGAGGGAAGCAGAAAGAGAGACAATGAGAGGAAGGAACAGAGATGAAATATAGGCGCACCAGAGAAAGACTGCTGTGAAGACGACATTTTGCATTAATGTAACGTTTATGTTTCAGAGTGTTTTCCTTTCTCTGCCACCTTTTTTTGTTGCTGCAGTTTTGCTAGCTTGAGTGGAGTGTTGTACGGATAGAAACGTCTGCCAGTTGGCAAGGCTTTTACATCGCATTGTTCATATCACTTCACAGTATTTGCTCTTAAGTGTGTGTGAGCTCAAGAGGCTGCAGAGCTGTAGCAGCAGATGCAGTCGGATCCTCGTCAAAACTTTTACTTGGTCAAACGTGACTTTACAGGCTGTTTGTCATTCACATAATATAATGTAATAGCTTCCCAAATGTGAGCTAAATTTGTCATTTGTTTCTTTAGAATGAAGTTAACTTCTGAGTTGACTTTCCTGTGAAGACAGCAGACATTTTGACTAGTGGAAAAGCACTAATGACACTAATGAAGGCTCCTTTGTATTCAAGTGTCCCATTAAGCCATGACAGTGTGACAATGAGCCAGCACACACAATACCAGGACCCTGACAGTGAAGCAGCTAAATGGAATTCAGCCATCATTAATGGTATTTACCTTTGTGCTTTTTCCCACTCTGACATGTCAAAATGTCACGTAGATCTTCGAAGTTCAAACACAGCTTAATTGGAACATATCTAACTAACTTGTGCTGTGCGACCTGCTTTCACTAAGTTCAGCGTTGTCGTGGCGGAAGGATTAAAACGAGAGACAAAGAAGGACTTTCTGTTAGGATGATTTTACGCCAGGAGCACATTGTCCATGACCGACTTGATTCAGGAGAGCGGAGATGAAAAGATTTCAGCATGAAACATTTATGAGCTGCACTACGTTGTGAAGACTTCACAAAACACTGAAATATATTATTTAATGGGGACATGAGAAATCATTTGCATTGGAATTACATTCATGGCAAAGTTTCACCACAGTATTGCTCCATTGTGTAAACTTGTAACCAACTTTTTGACTCACTGGCTGAGCACATTGTTTAGCAGCCAAAATAACAAACTGGTTCTGTCACATGTGTATTTGTTTTAGTACATTTCATTGAGGTGAACCAACTTAAACCTCCTCATAAAACTCCTCTCCCTCTACTAAGTCTGTCCTCCTTTGGGTACATGCAGACTAACTAACATTATTTTATTAGCAAAATAGTTTAGCGGATTTCTTGTCCAACAAACAGGGCCATGAAACTAAGAGAGCTTGAGACAGTTAGTTTTGCAGAACTGTCTAGAAGTGCGAAAAAACTAAACCAAACCAACCAAACCAAAAGTTAGAAGTGCTGTCTGTTTGCACAAACTGTTGTGTGGAGTATAACAGGGAGGGACATTGATTTTTATGATGCATTCACTTGAAATGGGAACTGCAGATTGTCTGTAGCAGGAGAAGTTCTGCACTATTTTAAACTTTTATCTTGTAATAATCTTTGAATTATTAAGCAATAGGATAAGATTAGATAGACTTTATTGATCCCACACTGGGGAAATTCACTCGCTACAGCAGCTCCAGATACAACACAGCAGAAAAGAAAAATATACATTGAATAAAACAATTAAATAAAAATAATACAAGATATAATGAAACTAGAATAATGGTTATATGTACACTATATACAGCTTTTCATACAGATGTGATATGGAACATTGACTATAGACCTATGAATATACAGTAAAGGTCTCGTAACAATAATGTGCGTGTAGGAAATTATATACATATATACTGTATGTAAAAACTGTACAGTACTAATCGGGCAAATAGTGACTGATAAAGTGTCTAATGTGGTGTTATTTGACACACAAAGCATTGTATTAGATGTTAACTAGTTAACATACAGTGCGATTGAACACCTGATTGATTACAACACTGCACTAGATGATTGAAGTGGGCAGTTTAATGTGAAACTAACTTGTGACAACACAGCAGATAGAGTTGACTTCACATTAACAGTTAAGGTCAGCTGATGGCCAAAGGCTGCTGCAGTTTAAAATAATAACTACACTTTGAATTGAATTGTTCAGCTTTACCTTATAGCACAGCCAGGACCACTGAGTCCAACTGCTAGGGAGTGTTAATGCTCCATTTCTGTGGGGGTTATTTGTGAACACACACTCACACAGACTGCTTCATGCACATTTTGGTGAGCGTTCACGCTGCCTTGCATAAGTCGCAGTATAGAATCAACCCACCCACTGAAACACTGAAAAACACACACCTCACATAGTTAATCTCTCCGGAAAACAAGGAGACAAGGAGACGTGCACCCACCTGCCCACGTACACACCTACACAATCACACAATCACACAATCACATCCTTCCTCTCCCATCATGCACACAAAAGAAGGTTCAGTCTTGACACTGACACATACACACACACACAGACACACACAGACACACACAGACATCTCTACTTACTGATAAAAACCTGTATCAGAAGATAACAGGGTTTCTGAAAGGTTATTCTCTGTGCGCGCCAACTCTTGCTATCAGATCCAATAGGACTGTGTTGTTTGGGCTGAAATCGGGGTTGAAAGGGATTTCGCTGCCCATCCAGACATTTAAGCTTAGAAAACATCACCAGTGTGAAAGATTAAAGAGCAGAGAAGGTCAGCGACTGTAAAAATACAAACTTTTACAGGCTGGATGAGTGATACTGGAAGCCAACCATGATGCTTTGGCACAAACGAGTCGGTGCTGGAACTCATTCAAATGTCTTGTGTAAGGAAAAGATGCCAAATATGATAAGTAGCGTATTTCAACTTTTAACACAAGAGCAGCCAAAACCATGCACGCGCTCTCTTATGCAGTGTCGAGCCATTCATTTTCAGTTTCTCGCCAAAAGGCAGGAGAAGAGAAATCATCCATATTTGATCACTAATATGAAGTCTCTTAAAAGAAAAAAGCCTCTGTATGCAGATTTTGCTAATGTTTGACAAGAGAAAACACTTAACAAAAAAATGAAAAAGCTGTCATTTTGCATTTGAGTTGGTTTATGTCTTTAGGGAACACTGGCATCAAACATATGCAACACACAGCAACATTGGCAGCTCTGAGAATAACATGACTGACAGGCTGAAAGATGACTGAAATAACTGATGAATGTAAATGAAGAAGTGACATTGATACTCACTGGAGCTGTAGCCACGGCCTCCTTGTCGTAATACTTTTTCCTCTCGTACTTGTCCCGGATGAAGACCTCCACTGCTCTGAGGGTAAGATTAAGGACTGAAATACTGCACAAAAATATTCAAATATCCATTATGAACACATGCAGAGCATTTGCTTAAATAAATTTAATTAATTACTGAAGTTCTGTAGTTCTCAGGGACACCGTAAGAACACTTGCTTTGCTGATTTTACGGGTTTTAGATGCCGCATGCATTAAAAAGTTAAGATTTGAATTCCTTGTCGAGGTTAGGAATGTAGGTGGAGATGTGTGAGAAATTAAACTTTATGACTTTGGGGTGTCCTTGTAGCATCAATTTTAAAGCCTCATTTATACTCAAATTGGACACGGCCATGGCCTTGTACCTTATGCTATAGACTACACCGGAGCCTGACGTGCACCTCCCCAGAAATGTACTTACACATTATGACAACGCAGACCACAAACAACCACAGATGAGTAAATAATGCTGTTTGATAACCCCACACAAACAGGCACACATTTGTCTGTCCCCTCATATTCTCTCTCGTCCTTTTGTTTCCCAGGCGGCGGTGGGGGAAAAAAAACGAGGAACACAAGACAGATTAAAGCGTAAATGAACCCCAAAACCACTTTTAATCGTCTATGTATGGGTATTAACTAGAGTTGTTGATTCACCGAGGTCCAAATCTGGATATTTAAGTATAAAGTATTTGAATTCTACATATTTTGCTGTAAATCTGCACAGCAATTAAATTTAGCTTCAGGCTGATCTGAGGTAATGTATGTGGTGCCAGCTACTTCTATAAAACCAACGTCTTGAGTCTGCGGACTGTGGCCTGTTAGGTATCGGTAGCCTGACACTGGAGAGTTAGCCTCTCTGAGTCGCAAGCTTAGCTAATGGTACAACATAAATAGCACCCAGAAACTTTTACAATGTGCTTCTAGTGACTGTAAAAGCTCCAGCGAACTGTGTTTGCAGTGCAGACACAGAGAGTCTGGCAGCAGCTGCTCCTGGCTGGTTAGCCCTGACTGAATGTGTTGATCCGAGGGAACCCTGATGAAAGTCTAATGACGTCACTGACATTACTGCTCAGTCAGAGGGATGAATCACTAAACGTTTGGCCGTTTGGTTTCATTAACAGAAAATATGGGTGGTCGTGGTCATAGATTCTTGTCATTATCAAAATACCACGACAGACATGCAAGCACACCCACAAACTCCAACTGACACACAAACACACGCCACCATTACACCCAGGCACTACATCCGCGCTAATCCGACTCTCTTATCTCCCTATTTCAGCAGCGATGCTTCTGTCGGATCGAGTAATAGACTTCAAAAGATTGAAAAATGATGACCACCCGCACGAGTCAGGCTATGAGATAGGCTGGAAGAGGCAGGCTGCTGGAGCTGCATCTCAAACACGCCGCTTATTTATTGCTGTTGACTGGAAACAGCAGAGCAGATAGGACGCTACACTGCGATACTCAGCACAGCAATTCAGAGTGTGTGTGAATACAAGTGTGCCAAATGACATGGTGGTTATGTACACACGACCACAAGAGAGTGTTGAAGTGATGAAGATGGATGGTGCACCACTGAAGCGCCCACAAAACTCACTAAACCAGAGCGGCTGATATGTGGGCCCACTGCTGACCTTTGACATTAATGATATCCTCTCCAGCTCTGATGAGACATACAGTTCAACTTCAGATTTATTATACTATACATAACATCATGCTGGTTATCAACTGGAATATCTGAAAAAACACATGAAAGCAAGTAAAATGAACAACCACCAAACACCAAATGCTGGTAAATTTTGGGTTGGTGGTAAAATAAATGGCCGGTAAATACAGCGTAGGGGCAATTTAGAGCAATGTGACCCTCACTGTCCACCATACTTATCCTAAAGTCAGCAAATCAAAGCAGCTTACTATTATCTGGCATTTTCTGCACATTAGTATTCTTAACTTTAACGTTTCTAACTTCAGATTTTGGTCTAAATCGCAGAAATTGAATAATTGAATAAAGCGTGTGCTCATGAGACTTAAAAATGTGTATAACTAACGCAGCGATGATACCATATAAGGCAACACGACCTGCCCCATGTGTGAGGAAGTTCATTATGAAAACAGTACGTTAGAGTATAAAGAAGAACCTTTACGAGCTCGGAGATTGAAGTCCTGCTCTCGGAGATCAACAAAGGAATAGACAGAGGTGAAGGGAAAGTCTTCATCACGCAGACAAAGGAAAGAATACGTGCATTGTCAGGAGACACCTGGACAGCGACCTGCACACACCTTCATGTGAAGAGAACTCTAACCCATCAATAACCAATTTAAATGAACGATGAAACCTTGTTATTACTGTAGTAACAAATAAAACTGCAATAACTGCAAATGCAACAAGACAACATGAACTCCACACACAAACACACACACACACACACGTAGGAGTTGAAAACACAATATCAAATACGGCGGGGGAATCAAACTCCATTTTGTCATTTACATACATAAGCAGAGTAAATAGCAGGACCAAAGTGTGTGAGCGTGAACACAGAGAAGCGCAAAAGAAAACCGCTCACACACATTCAGGCGGTAGCTCCTCTAATCCTGGGTCTGTTATCTGCTGTTTTCAGCCAGCGGCGCTGCTGTCAGAACAACTAATGGACTTCAAAAGAGTGAAGAATGATGACCACCCGCACAAATGGGCCTGCCAGATACAAGATAGGGTATTAGAGCGGCATTTCAAACAGGGAGATTATTTATTTCAGTCTGCTGGTGGAAATATGAACATATGCTGCTGCGTTAACCACACAGCTGTCTTGTCTTGTATCGTGGAAAAGGGCAAATTGGAAAGTGCCGTTACATCGCTGTATACACAGACACTGCTAGAGGTGTCCTGTTTGAACGTGTGGAATCACGCTGACGTAGCGAGCCTGTCACTTCTGATTTGGAGCGGGGTTTGATTGGGGATGTGCACACAAAGCCGAAGTCAGACGGTGACAATGAGTCAGATCTGATACGGTTATTTTCTCTGGCTTGTCACAGAAAAAAGGTCCACTACAGGTCAGCAGTGATTTTAAGTAGGGTTAAACTGATCTGTATGCTGATGTACTGTATACAGCAAGCAGCCCATTGGATATTATTCACCACTAATATTACAGAGCTAACTCACTGATCACAGCTCATTAATTACCTTGTTGTTCAGCAGGGCTGCCCACCAACTAAAGATTTTCCTAGTCGACTAGTATTTGCACATTTATGATATTAATTTAATTATGTAAATCTCTATAAGTGAACTGCAGCCTGTTAACTGCTAACAGAAACAGCGGCAATGATTGTAAATGTGTCAAAACAACCAGCCTGAACATTTAGTTAATTTATTCCAACACAGTGTAACATCACACAGTCTGGTTGTTCAACACACAAAATAAATAACTTTCAACTTCACTGAAACTGATCCTGACTGACTGATCGATACGATGGATGATGGATAACGTTAACAGTTACTGACTAATTAACCGGCTACAAACTGGCTCCTCTTCCTCCTCTTCCTCTCCTGTCGCTGC